CATTAAATAATTTCCTAATATTTTCAAAAATTTTACAAAGAGCTATCAAGTATTAATAGATTTTGATTGTTTCTTCATAATGTTTGCATTTTCTATTGAATGGTTCTTTAATGATTTTTAAATCAAATATTTTACTCTTGTTTACATCGTACATGACTATCACTATCAAAAGTTCCAAATTTAATATACATCTGCTTTGATAATCATTTAGAATAATATCATATTGTTGATATAGCTTCTACAAAAAGTTATTGTAATAGCAAGTATCATGTATAAACAAATGATCAAAAAATACATACAAAACATATAATTAGTATTATTAATACTTATTATCATAAAAATAAAATTTGTTCTTTAGTTTTATTTGTAATATAAATTATGATAAAACGTTTCAACTTTTTATTCTTATGTGTACAAGATAATTGAAATATTTAATGTACTTATCTGAGATGTATTGCTAAATAAATGCATTCATTCAGGTTTGGAGGGTATAGAGTAGGAGTGAGTAAGTATTAGTAAGACTACTTGCAACTAATTAAGATACTTGCAAAGGTTGTTCATATAGAATAAAGATTTCAGGAAGCTGTTTATTTATCTTTAATTATGAAAAGTTATGTATTTATTCTCCATTAAAGTCTGTTATTTACTTGAGTTCCTGTTAAATACAGCTCTAAATTTTTGTTATATTTTTCAAAGTTTTAAATAGTTTAAACATTTTAAACTCTGTAAGAAACAAATACCAACATTTTACATTCTTTTTTGTAAATTATAAACAGATATACTAAAATATTGTTTTATCATTTTATAATGCATAAGATTTTAGGGACTTCTTTGTACTACATCCTTTACTGCATAAACGCAAAGTTGATCAAGTTTCTTCAAGGGATATACAGTGGCATATAAAAGTATTGAGTTATGGTATATTTCTGTAATAACTTTTAAATGCAAAATTATGCAAGGAATTTTTTAATGCACAAAGAGTGCATGGTATTAAGGTATCATTATTTGTGAATAGTACATTTCTGGTAATGTAACATTAGATATTTATTACATTAGATATGTGCAAAATATCAAGTCATTTGGTTTTTTAGCAACTTGTAGATACCTTTTTATTTTACCTTCTTAGAATAATGAAAGAAATTAATCTTTCATCTATACTGAAATAAAATGCATTGTTATACCAATATGTCACTGCGTTCGGTAGTGATTACGTTGTTCAAAAGCAGAGGAACATCACATCAAATTGCTAACTTATGATTGACAATTAAAACAAGAGAGAATAATATAATTAAAAAATTTAATTATGAGCTTGGCCTGAAAGACCTTTAAAAGATTATGTAAAACTACACAATGAGCGGATAATCTTATAAGAAAGTCAATTGAATATTAAAAATTTGAATTAAGGAATGAAAATAGCCGATGTTAGTCGCAGTTTTATCTCACGACACTTAATTAGTGCGAGATTATTTGGTTGCATTGGTATTGAAAGACCATTTAATAGTAAGAAAAATCAAAAGATCAAATTAAAATTTGTACGAAAATACTGAGTTAAGATTGAAAATTCTGTTTAGAGATAAATGTAAATTTAACTTATTTAGAAGTAATTTGGAAACTGTATATACGACGAACGGTAGGAAGTAGAATAGATAGAATAATAGATTGTAAGTACAAAATTTGGATACTTAAATACAGTGGAGAGAACATCATGATATGGGGTGCATTCTCCATTCAAAGAGTTAGAACCTTAATAGAAATTGATGGCATCATGAAAAGTATTGGCTACAAAAATATATTAAAAGAGGTATCACCACATGCTTGGAAAAGTGTGCCACAAAATTAGGTTTTTCAACATGGTAATGACTGCTAAGGTAGTCAAAGACCAGTTGTGTATAAAAAAATGTATAAGTTTTATTGTGTTATGCTCAATCAGCTGATCTAAATCCTATCAAACTTGGAAAGCACTGGGAAATCATCTTAAAAATATAAAAGGTCATAAAAAAGCACACTGTTGTAATCTTTATAGAATGAATGGACAAAAACTTCTTAACAATATATTAACCATCTTATTGAATCAATACCTTGAAGATGTGCTATAGTAATTGCTGCAAAGGGCATGCCAATGAAGCATTCAAGATAGTCATAGCTGTATAAAAGTATGAATTTTTTTGTTTGTATTGGAAATATTTTGTAATTGTATTTATATGATATAAATATCTATCTAATTATATCTATTTAACATTAATGCATTAGTATCAAATACTCTTTGTGCATTAAAAAGTTACTTGCACAATTTATGTTTAAAAGTTATTACAAAAAAATGTGGTGGAATACATTTGCATGCCACTGTATACTGTTGTGTTTTCAAAGGTACAAGTGATAAAAATTGTCATTAATAAAGAGAAGACACTCTCTTCTAATGCTGGTATACAAAAGAAATAACAAGATTCATGTAAATATTAATTGTTCTATAATTACTAAATTGCAATGTGATGTGACATTAGCTTCATCACATTCTAATTGTTATTTTGGTTATATCTTTAATTTAATTACTATTTAAGAGCAACAATTTATTTAAATTTTGAGATTATTTATCAAATAAAAGTTTTCAATGTAAACAATTCTACAGTTGAAATACTTCGATATAAAATTTTTTCATAGGTGTCAGTTGTAAAATTGTAGTTTCAGTACAAAAAGTAATTTTTAATGGATTAATGTAAGGAAGGTACATTTTGAGGTCAGCTATTAAACAAAACACATATTTAAATCATAAACACTTATGTTACAAACCAATAATTATTTATTATAATCATCTTCAATTGAAAAGGACAATTAAAGCAGTAAACGTATATACGCATTATAGTTTATATTAAGGTTATGAAGATATGACTAATTGCTTCAGTAAAATAAACAACAAGACATAAAAATCATAAATGATATAACAACTGATTGCTCCACTGCTACACTAAACTTTAGACCTCACTATTATAATTTAGGTGCATTAGAAATTCTAATCAATATTAATAGTTATTGCTTGATTATTACATTAATAAATAAATACAACATAAAGAAGACAAGTAGATATGACTATTACTTTTTTTAACATTTTAATATGTGTTGAAGCTGAAAAAGTATAGCACTTACTACTGCTAATTATCGATGTTCATAGTAACTGCTTAACCTAGATAATAAAGGAGTTACTATTAAAATTAACCCACAATATGTGGTGTGATTATGAGCAGCCGTCTGCACCTTAGCGGGAATCAGAAATATGTACTACTTGCTCAGCAGCCATCAATGCATCCGAGTATAGACTATGAATCGAAAATTCACAGGCATGGATAAAAACTACCGTTACTATTTATCCAGTTCCATTAATGTTAATGTAAATTTGAAAAAATTATTTACTATAAATTTCTTGTATACTGTTTGTATTATTCTTTACTAACATGTTAAAACTGTTTACTAGCGATAAGTACACTTTTTTTTATGATATAATATTTTCATCGCGATTTATATTGTTATATAAAATATTCTTACCAAATTTCTGATACATTATTTTCGTTTAAAAACAAAAATAATATATTCATTTACCACTTATCTTCTTTAGGTTAATTAAATGCATTTGTTTATTTTTCCAATGGACTTAATATATTACTATATTAGTAATGTTAATCGATCTATTGCCAAATAGTGCCACCCACGTTATTACACATTTGAAATACATATATACATGTTTGAATACGTTTCATAAAAATTTGAGTTTTTACTATGTATAATGATCTTGTAAATAATATTAAAAATTGAATTTCATTTCAACCTGACAGTTGTGGCGTCGATCGGCTTTCAGAGAGAGTCAAATCTAATAACCTGATAGTTTCGTAAATAATAATATCACATTCTTGATGTATAGAATACTGTAGCATTATTGGCACATTTGTAATATATTTCAATAATATTTACGTCTCAATTATTGTGATGTACACAAAACAATGAAATATAACATTTAAATCTGAAATAAAGAAACACCATTCATACTTCACTTTTAATTCTTGTAAGCATTGAATATAGTATAATAAAGTAATAAAAGTGTGTGACAGATTCAACATAAATAACTACTGAAATATTGTGTTGATCATTGAAATAAAGTTGGTCTGTTTATCTTTGAATGGAATGTGTATATATTCAAATTATATGAAAACTGTGATAATGATATTAAAGTGAAGCATGATATGTTGCATCATAATACTAAGTTTTTCGATTCTTTGCATACTGAATTCATTACATTTTCGATTTGAATTTCAATTTGAATCTCCTTATGAATTTATTAAATTCGCATTACGTTTCAAAACAGTGTACACCAATATTATTTATTAATTATTATTATTAAAATTTTTCACTTTTCGCATTCTTTTTTATTGGTCCACCTTATAAAATATAAATATACGTCCGTCCGTTATTATTATGAATATTATCACTATATAATTAGAACACACAACCAACATATTTTCTTAACGTGTACAAATAAGCATTGTTTGTTCAATTCGTATATGGGGTTAATTATTAGTGTGACAATGGATCAATCGTTCAACCATAAAACTTCTTACTTATAAACAATTTAACTTTTCTACATTCTGTATGTCTCAGATCAATATGATAAAATAAAGGGACACACAACTTAGTGGAAGCTGAAATTGGTAGTCTCCTTGTACTACTTTATAATTATATATTATTGTAACACTATTTATTACATAAAATTGAATGTAAAATTTTCTCAACAAATCTATCTAACAAATATTAATCAGCACTACAAATTTTCCTCATAGGACCATTACTGATACTCATTCTATTCCCGATATAGAAGTGGACACAAGATCTGTAGTATCTAATCTAAGGTAATCACCGCCATTTGATTTTCTATATACGTATACCGAAAAAATACTTGGTCATTGAATATTTGTATACGTATATATTACAACCGAAAATGTAAATAAAATTTTGAAAATAAATTTTCACAAAAATAA